ACACACACACAGACACACACACTGATTCCTGTAACCTTCGTCTCCTCATCTGTCTCTCGCTGGCTTCACCACTCAGCAGCATGTCACATGTTAATAATCACATATGGATGTTGTATATAAATATTCACATGTATGTCAGGTGCAGCAGATCTGCCGTGTTACTTTCCAATCCTCGTGTGCAGGTCCAATAACATGTCCACCCTCAAAATAACGAGCAGTGTGATTTGATTCCTGTTTCATTTCCTCCCAGTTTGACTTGATCCCAGTATGATCTGACCTCTGAGATGCTGGAACAGTTTTTTTAAGAATTAGTTTTCAAAATCAGAACACTTTGTTAAATGATGTCATTTCAATTCCGTTCTTTTGATTGGTCACTCGATTCCTGATTGTTCAGGTCTATTGATTGGGTTAGGGTTAGGTTCCAGTTTGATTTCCTCCCAGTTTGATTTGATCCCAGTGTGACTGTTTGGGTCTGTTGCTGTGAGAGCTGCACGTGGACGATGGGGCCTGTAGATGGTGGCGTCCACAGAGCGGGGGGAGCTGCTGCACTGAGGGATTAAATGAGCGGCGTGTGGACCTTCTGATGAGCGTGAGATTTCCAGGAAGTCAGAGAGGAGGACGGTGTTTTGTACGTGGAGCGTAGCTGGACATCAAAGACGCGGTGGCGTGCTGGCGGTGTCACTGAGGAAAATGAGGATGAATAATGGAGCAGATTGCAGCAGTAATCACCATTAAACTGTATCTGGACCCACTTTATTCTCCAACATCAAACACACGGCCCCACTGGGACACACTAACACACACAGCGCACACACATGATTTATTCTGCACACACACTTAAACACAGACAGAAAAGCTTCTGTGTTTGTAGAACGTCAAAGATAAGAGAGAAATTTAGATGAAAGAGCATTTTATTCTTTTTTTCAGAGTCGCCTCGAGCTGAATGGCTTCAGGCAACGCAGGCACACACTTTTTACTTCACACACACAAACACACACTTCTTCTAAAGCGTGTGTGTGCGCCCAGTTTGAGTCGCACTCATGTGTTGGGTCGATCGAGCTGTGATCTCCCTCACAGATATTAGAGAGAGAGAGAACGAGACGGCTGCTCGGCCTCTAATGAGGTTTTTAATTTTGACAGGGTGCGTTTGATTTCCACTCTGTGACCAAACGGGGGTCAGACTCATTACAGCGGGCGTGAAAACAGGAAGCTGGATGTTGAAGCAGTAATGCAGAGTGATGAGACCGCGGCTCTCAGACGTCCCCAGCACCGCCGCTTCCTGTCGTCGGGCTTCAAGCTGCCCAGTGACAGATGCTGATGAATCTGCCTGCAGCTGTTGATGTGCACGGGTGCATCGGTGAGAGCGAGGATGCTGAAGAAAAGCTTCTGCACTCATCGGGAGCTGCTCCATTTCCAAACACCACAAAACAAGCCAAACGCACGATGACCTTTGAACCCCTGAAAGCTTGCATTTTGTGCCGGCAGTGACTCAGACAGCAGAGAGAGCTGATTGAATCAGTGAGGTGAATTTCTGTCACAAGCAGAGAAACCTGAGGCGTCTTAGCGCTGAAATCCCAAGGACGACTCCCAAGGTTAGCATCCTGCCTCGCAGTTTTAAAGAAAGTCAGATATAATGCTTTCATCCTTTGGTCATACTCCAACGCTGCGCTGCTTTCATGACATTCAGCCTTGTACTTTTTCTCTAACACCGGAGGCTGAGCGCTGAAAAGCAGCTTCCTGTTTTCAGCACAGAGTCAGGCCTGACACATCGTACAAATACAGACGTAGACTCCATGCTTTGAAGCATTCCTCTATTTGTTTGTTTTAGAAGACGTTGCCATATTTGGACAAGAGGTTGGAGCGCTAAGTTGTACAAAAGGACAGGAACCTCACAGCAGCTTTGTTATTGGTCACATGATGTCATTAAAACAGCACAAACACAGTGCAGAGGTCCAATTCAGGGGAAGCTAGCAGACAGCTAGCAGCTACCTGTGTCACCATCCACCTGTCAGTCACAGAGGCCACGCCCCTAATGATGCAATGCCTCGGTTTCCACGCATGCAACAAACAAACAAACACAATCCTGTTAAATGCATGTAGACGTGGACTGCGTGATGTAAAAGTCATCTCGATGTGTCAATGGTGTCAGCGTGAGCTCAGCCTGTTGTTCGACATGTGGAGGACCCAGAACAGAGCCCAGAGGAACCCCACGAGCTGCTGATTGACTGCATGTTATTCTTCTGTGTCAGTCCAGGCTAACCACCATGTAGCTGTCTGTACAGAGGAGTAAATACCACAC